AAATTGCAAATCGAAAAATTAAAGAAAGGAAAAATTCCAAAAATTAAAATTGCCAAACCAAAAATTATAAAATGAAACTAAAATTGAAAACTGTATAAACTCAAATCAAAAAATTGTAAAATCTCAAAAATTGAAAAATTCAAAAGTTGGAAAATTTAGAAAATAGAACAATTAGAAAATCAGGACATTGAAAAACCGGAAGATTGAAAAATCGAAAAATCTAAAAAGTGATAAATGAAAAATTGAAAACTCGTGAAGTTGCCAATCTAAATATGGCAAAATCTAAAACCTGATACACCCTAAAGTTGAAAAATCGGAAAATTGAAAATTTAACAACGAAAACTCGAAGAAATAACTATCATAAAAGTGAAGAGACAAAATATTAAAAATTGGAAATCGAAAAGTTGAAAAAAGAAAAAATTGAAAAAATTTTAATTGAAAATACAAAATATGTATTATACATTCGAACCTTTGAAAAATCGAATAATTGAAAAAATAAAGAAAACAAAAAACCGAAACGAAAAATTGCAAATCAAAAATTCAAAAACTAAAAATTGAAAAATTCAAAACTTGGAAAAGTTTATAATAGAAAATAGAACAATTAGAAAATCGGAACATTCAGAAACCGAAAAATTGAAAAAAATAAACAAAATAAACAGGAAACGAAAAACTGCAAAACCAAAAATTGAAGAAATCAAAAGTTGAAAAATCTGAAAACCGAAAAATTAAAAATTGAAAACTCGTGAAATTGTTAATAGAAATGTCAAAATCCAAAAGTTGAAATGAAAAATTGAAAAAATTTAAATTGTAAAAACAAAATACATATTATAAAATTGGACCACTGAAAAATCGAGAAATTGTGAAAATAAAAAAAATAGAAAACCGAAACCAAAAATTACAAATAGAAAATTTGAAGAAATGAAAAATTAATAAGTCGAAAAATTGAAATTTTAAAAGTTGAAACCTTGAGAAATTTTAAATAGAAAAATTGCAAAATCTAAAAATTGAAGAAACAAAAAAATGAAAAATGAAAAATCGCAAATCCAAAAATTTTAAAAACTAAAATATAAAAAACAAAAAATTGTAAATTCCAATTATGAAAAAATCAAAAAACTCAAAAGTTGGAAAATTTCACATTAGAAAATAAAAAAATTGGAAAATCAGGACATTGACAAACCGAAAAATTGAAAAAAATAAAGAAAATAAACTGAAACGAGAAACTACAGATCGAAAAATTGAAGAAATGAAAAATTGACAAATTTGATAACTGAAAGATTAAAAATTGAAAACCCGTGAAATTGAAAATTGAAATATGGCAAAATCTAAAATTTGAAACATCCAAACATTGTAAAATCGGAAAACTGGAAAATTTATACATGAAAACTGGAAGAGATGCATATCGTAAATTTGAAGAAATAAAAAAATGAAAAACTGAAAAATTGCGACTCGGGAAATATAAGAAAGGAAAAATTGAAAATACTGACATTGTAAAAGCAAAAAATTATAAAATAGGAACATTGAAAAATCGAGAAATTGTAAAAATAAAAAAAAAAGAAAACTGAAATCAAAAATTGCAAATAGAAAATTTGATGGAACGAAAAATTAAAAAATCTAAATATTGAAGAAACGAAGAAAATTAAAAATTGCAAATCGAAATATTTTAAAAATTAAAATTCAAAAAATAAAAAATTATAAAATCGAACCATGGAAAAATCGAATAGTTGAAATAGAAAATCAGAACATAGAAAAACGAAAAATTGAAAAAAAAAGAAAATAAACCGAAACGAAAAACTGGAAATTGAGAAATCGAAGAAATGAAAACCCGAAAACTTTAATAGCTGAAAGATTAAAAATTGAAAAGTCGTAAAATTGCAAATCGAAATATGGCAAAATCCAAAATTTGTAACATCCAACCATGGGAAAATCGGAAAACTGGAAAAATTAAACGTGAAAACTCGAAGTTGCAAATAGTAAAATTGAAAAATTGCATATCGAAAATATAAGAAAGGAAAAATTGAAAAAATTTAAATTGTAAAAAGGAAACATTATAAAATTGGAGAAATTTTTAAAATAGAGGAAATAGAAAATCGAAACCAAAAATTCCAAATCGAAAATTTGATGAAATGAAAAATTAAAAAATGGAGAAATTAAAATTTTAAAGTTGAACACTCGAGAAATTTTAAATCGAAAAATTGCAAAATCTAAATATTGAAGAAACAAAAAAAAAATTAAAAATCGCAAATCGAAAAGTTTTAAAAATTAAAATTCAAAGAACAAAAAATTATGTAAATCCAACCATGGAAAAATCGAATAATTGAAAAACTCAAAAATTGAAAAATTTCACATCAGAAAATAGAAAAATTTGGAAACTTGAACATTGAAAAACCGAAAAATAAAAAAAAAAGATAACAAACCCAAACGAGAAGCCGGAAATTGAAAAATTGAAGAAATGAAAACCCGAAAAATCTAATAGCTGGAAGATTAAAAATTGAAAACTAGTGAAATTGAAAATAAATCGAAATATGGCAACATCCAAAATTTGAAAAAACGTAAAACTGGAAAATTTAAACATCAAAGTTCGAAGAGATGCATATCGTAAGACTGAAAAACAAAGAATGAGAAATTGTAAAATTGCATATCGAAAAATATAAGGAAAATGAAAAAAAAATTAAATTGTAAAAACAAAAAATTATAAAATTGGAACATTTAAATTTAAAAAATAAAGAAAATAGAAAACCGAAACTAAAAATTGAAAACCGAGAATTTGAAGAAATGAAAAATAAAAAAGTCTAAATATTGAAGCAACAAAAAAATGGACAATTAAAAATTGCCAATCGAAATATTTTAAAAATTAAAATTCAAAACACAAAAAATTATAAAATCGAACCATGGAAAATGGAATAATTGAAAAAATAAATAAAACAAAAAACCGAAACGAAAAATTGCAAATCGAAAAATTGAAAAATTAAAATCTAAAAACTGAGAAATTTAAACTTGAAAACTCGAAAAATTGCAAATCAAAAAACTGAAGAAACAAATAAATAATGAAAAATTAAAGCATTGAAAAATGCTGCAGGAGTGTAACCAGGGGCGTAAATAGTGGTTTATAATTTTAATTTTTAATTTATAAATTTTGACCAATTTTTTATCTTAGGAATCGAGGTTTTTGAAATAAAATCTGAACATTTTACAATAACAAACGCACATAAACCTTTTCTAGAATGGGCAGAATTTACATACAATTTGAAAGTCAATACAAATTTTGACAAAGTATACTATTATACCTAGACGGAGTTTATGCAAAATTTAAATTTTGTGATTAAACAGGCGATTGCATGTTAATATTAAACAAATATTGGTATAATATGTCTGTATGCAAAATATTTGCGCATTTTGTCTATACAGACACTAACAAACAAAACAATTTTGAGTTTGTTGTCCGTTTCGAACGTCATATAGTAATGTATGCATTTTCCATAAGTACATTTTTGAAATTGCTTGTGGTCTGATAAGGGGCATTTCGACGTCATGTAAAATACAAAGACGTCATGTCGTTTCCAACGTATAAAATTTTTGCTACAATTTACGTCGTTTCGAGTGGTAACCAAGCAAAATCGTGCTTCAGCTCGCAAATTCAATTTACACTTGTTTTTCGATCGTTCTAACAAACTCTTGCACGGTAGTGGAGCTTGGCGTAACGGTTGCACGTAAACGTAATCGTTAATAATGCGATTATTTGGCGAAAATTAGCATATAGGTGCACTCTCTTTCGTAAGATTAAGAGGCGAATTTTTGGACACTTACCTTATCTAACGTTTTGCGCAAGCGACTGCTATAATCGGTTCCGATTAATTTATTCAAGTCACCGTTTTCGTAGCAACAAATCAACTTTGTGTATTGTTGAAATTACTCGGTTACAAGGTGACCACAATACAACAATCTATTTTGCTAATGGCGAATATGCAAGATCAAATTTTCTCGCGTTGCGTAAGTCCACACATGTCACGTTCGTTATTAAACACGAGTCGAAAGCTTTGATCTTTCAGGTCTATCTCACAGGAGCTAATTATTAGTAATATCCAACACTTATTTTAATTGAAAACATTACTTACACCTCAAGTTGGCACGCGTTTTCCTCGTAAAAGTGAAATGTAGCCTTTCACACTTCGTGCGATAATTTTTATTGTGTTTTGAAAGTCAATTGTGTCTTAAAAATAAATCGTCCCTTTGACAAGAGGAAGCCGATTTGTGGCTAACGTAACTATGGCAAATGAAGCGATTAGTATTCTCGCATCATGAAAATAATTTCTTTTTCTGTATTTACTACACTCTTGCGATGCGTGTTTTTCTGGTTTATAGTCAGTAAAGGCCTTTTTCGAATTATAATCTTTCCATTCGCTGAATGCATATCAGAGCAGAACGCTACTTGTTAAGCTTTGATAACTAGTATCGTTGTGTAAGGCTATAATCGAGATATATGGTTACGAGGCGTTATAATGGTTCAAAAGGTTCGACTTTAATTGTCTGTGCTGGAGCCGATTTAATTAAGCGATATTGTCCAGGATTTTGTATCCTTAACCTCGTTTGGTTTGTTTCAGAAAAAGGATCGCCTAATGCACAAGGGAAACGCCCTGAACAAACGATGCTTAAATAATGCGGCCTTCATTAGACCTTCTATTAAATAAGAAAATTAATTTATGTTTGCATAGTGCGCCGATTTGCTAAATGACGTAATGCAAATATATGCATAATGTGGTAAGATTTTGAAGTGCATGTCTTTCTGTTGTCAAAAGTTCAACAGGTTCACAAATGCTTATGAATAGCTAAAATACGTTGTTGTTGGATTTTTAAAGCAAACAGTGAAATCAAAAATGGTGAAATACTTTCAGTTCTATGTGTTCAAGTATTTGTTCGTAATTTAACTTTATTTCCCATTGTTCGTAAATAATGCGGTGCAAAGTTAAGTTGAAATAATGGTAAAAGCAATTCTTAGTTAACTTTGTGAAAAAACCCTATCCGGATACTTGAATCACGGAACACAAATGTATCAACAGAATCCGGAGCTACGCTTTAGTCATATGCAATAGTTAGAAGTTGTTTTTGTATTACTTGTGGATTTAGCGAGTGAATAACAAGGTATGCCTCGATATAAAACCATAGTAAGTTCTATAGAGAATATTGCAAGTAATTCTTTGTTGTTATAAAACAATGGTATTTATTCTAAAATTAATGTTTAGTTAGTGCAAGGTACCTAATAATTAACAATAATTGCTTCTAAAATTATTTAACTACGATAAACACATAATACCTCAGATAAGAAAATGGTTGAAAGTTATTTCGGCAGAATTTCCCTCGCCACTGAAATACAGCCCAACAGATCCCGTTTTCTTTGTAAAACTATACATTTTTTTGCGATCTTTGTTTTTTGACTTGAATTTTCCATTTCGTTTTTTATTTTTTTTGTTTCTTCAGTTTTTCAATTTGCAGTTTTTCGAGTTTTTAGTTTCGTTTTGCAATTTTCCAACTTTTGAATTTTGCAATTTTTAGATTTCGCAATTATTCGATTTGAGCTTCTCGAGGTTTCAATTTTTCGATATCCAATTTTTCCTTTCCGTTTTTTATTTAGTTTATTTTTTCAATTATTCGATTTTATAATTTTTTGTTTTTCCAGTTTTAATTTTTTCTGTGCTTCGATTTTCAAACTTTTTAAGGTTTGAATTTTTAGATTTTGCAATTTGTCATTTCTGTTTTTTATTTTCCTGTTTGTATGATTTTTATTTTTTCATTGAGAAACTTTTCAATTTTTGGAATTTTTGAATTTTTCGATTTGCAATTTTTCGATTTTCAATTTTTCTATTTCTCGCTAATTAATTTTTCAGTTTTTCGATCTTTGAGAGTTACAGTTTTTCGACATTACAATTTTAATTTTTTTATAACTTTTCGATTTTACAATTTTTGTTTTTTTAGTTTTTCGATTTGAACATTCTCTAGTTTGCAAGTTTACAATTTTCCGATTTTAAAATTTTTCATTTTTTAATTTTTCAATTTTTCGATTTTTTAATTTTTTATTTCTTCAAGTTTTCGATTTGCATTTTTTTGTTTTGGTTTTTCATTTTCGTTATTTTTACAATTTTTCGATTTTTCAATGTTCCGCTTTTATCATTTTTTGTCTTTTTAATTTCAATTTTTCAATTTTTCGTTTCTTCGATTTTTTTATTCGCAATTTTTCAATTTTGAACTTTTTTTTGTCTCTTCAATTTTAAGATATGTAAAATCGTTCAGTTTTTTGATTTTACAATTTTTGGATATTTCAATTTTTATATTTACAACCTTTCGATTTGCAGATTCACAAGTTTTCAAATTTTAGATTTGCAATTTTTCGTTTCGGTTTTTTATTTTCTTTATTTTTTCAATTGTTCGATTTTTTAGTGTTTCGATTTTATAACTGCTTGTTTTTTCAGTTTTAACTTTTTCGTTGTTTCCTTTTTCAAACTTTTGATTTTTGCAATTTTTCAACTTAAAAGTTCTCGAGTTTTCAATTTTTAATTTTTCAATTTTAAAATTTTTCAGTTGTTTAATTTTTCTATTTGCAATTTGTAGTTTCCGTTTTTTATTTTCTTTATTTTTAAAAATTATCGGATTTTCAATGTTATGATTTTATAATTTTTCTTTTTTCAATCTTCGGATTTTTAAATTTCCCGATTTGCAGTTTTTCGACTTTACAATTTTGATTGTTCTATAATTTTTCGATTTTACAATTTTTTTGGCTTTCCAGTTTTTTGTTTCTTCAGTTTCTAGATTTGCAAATTTTCGAATTACAAGTTTAAAATTTTCTGTTTTTCAAGTTTACAACTTTCAAAATTTTCAATTTTTGGGTTTTGCAATTTTCGACTTAAAATTTCTCGAGTTTTCAATTTTTAATTTTTCAATTTCCCAATTGCCCGTTTTTTTATTTGTTCAATTTTTCGACTTGCAATTTGTCGTTTCCGTTTTTTGTTTTCCTTATTTTTAATTTTTCGGGTTTTCAGTGTTCTGATTTTATAATTTTTCTTTTTTTAATTCAATTTTTGGACTTTTAAATTTTCAATTTTTCTATTTCTCGATATTTAATTTATTTAATTTTTCAATTTTTCGATTTTACAATTTTGATGATTCTATAATTTTTCAATTTTGCAATTTTTAGTTTTCAATTTTTCGAGTTTTTATAATTTTTTCATTTTTTTTTAAAGCAATTTTTCAATTATGTATTTATTTTTGGTTCTACAATTTTGTAAAATTTTACAGTTTTTTGATTTTACAACTTTTGGATATTTCAAGTTTTAGATTTACAATCTTTCGATTAGCAAATTCACAAACTTTTTTCTTTTCTCATAATTTTTCCTTTTTTCAATGTTAAAATTTTTAATTTTTGGATTTTCCAATACATATTTTGATTCGAAATGTTTCTGTTTTCAATTTTAGATTTTTCAGTTTCTGGATTTTTCAATTTTTCGTTCCTTCAATTTTTGATTTGCAGTTTTTCTACTTTTCATTTAAAATATGCAATAATATTTATAGTTCTTAAAAGTTCACTTTTTTGCAATTATTGCTTTTTAAAACTTTTTCATTTATTTGATTTTTCTATTTTTCGGTCTCTCAGTGTTAGTTTTTCTACATTGCAATTTTGAAGATTCTATCATTTTTCGACTTCACAATTTTTGTGTTTTCCAACTTTTCGATTCGATTTGTTTTTTCTTCTTTCCAATTTTTCTATTCATTAATGTTTTTTGATTTTTAAGTTTTATCGATTTTTAGTTGTCAATGTTTCGATTTTTCGTTTGGTCACATTCGATTTTAATTTTTTTGTTTTTGTAATTTCTCGATTTTTGTGTTTCAATTTTTCCGGTTTTTTAGTTTTTCGATTTAAAAGAATTAAAAGAAAAAGGAACAATTGCAAAACTGTAGAATTGAAAAATGTAAAATGATTTCCATCGTTTTCCTTATTTTTAAAATTTTTAAATTTTTCGATGTTCTGATTTTATAATTTTTCTTTTTTTTCGATTTTTGAATTCTTCGATTTGCAATTTTTCGGTTTTCGATTTTTCTATTTCTCGATAGGTATTTAATTTTTCAATTTTTCGACCTTTCAGTGTTGCAGTTTTTCGACTTTACAATTTTGATGATTCTATAATTTTTCGTAAAACAATCTTTTGGTTTTTCGATTTTTTGTTTCTTCACTTTTTCGATTTGCAAATTTTCCAAGTTTTAAATTTTTCAGGTTTTGTAATTTCTCGACTTAAAATTTGTCCAGTTTTCAATTTTTAATTTTTCTATTTTTGGAATTTTTGATTTTTCGTTTCATAAAATGTTCGTTTGCAATTTTCTTTTTGGTTTATTATTTTCTTTATTCTTACAATTTTTCGATTTTTCAATGTTCCGTTTTTATAAGTTTTTGCTTTCTCAATTTCAATTTTTGCAATTTTCCGTTTATTTTATTTTTTATTTGCACTTTTCAATTTTTTATTATGATATGAATATTTTGATATGTGGATATATTTTTAGATTTACAGTCTTTTGATTTGAAATTTCACGAGTTTTCAAATTTTATATTTGAAATTTTTCATTTCAGTTTTTTATTTTTAGGTTTTTCAATGTTCTGTTTTTATAATATCTCTTTTTTTAAAGTGAAATCTTTTACTTTTTGGATTTTTCAATATTCCGGTTTTTTAACTTCTTGATTTTTTAATTTTTGTTTTGCATTTTTTCTAGTTTTCATTTTAAGTATATAATAATATTTATAATTTTTAAAGGTTTTCACTTTGTCAATTTCACGATTTTACAATTTTTCCTTTTTCTGCAATTATTGCACTTTAACACTTTTCATTCACGTGATTTTTCAATTTTTCGGTTATTAGTTTTTCGATTTTTCGATGTTCCACTGTTGTAGTTTTTCTACTTTGCATTTTTGAAGATTCTTTCATTTTTACATTGTACAATTTTTCGATTCCATTCGTTTTTTCTTCTTCCCAATTTTTTAAGTTTGTCCAATTTTAATTTTTCAATGTTTCAATTTTTTGTTTCTTCAATTCTTCGATTTGCAGTTTTTCGATTTTTACTTTTTTGTTTTCGCAATGTCTCGTTTTCTAAGTTTTTCGATTTTTGAACTTCCTAAATTAAAGAAAAAACGAAAAACTGCAAAACTGCAAAATTTAAAATGCAGAAACGAAAAAGTATAAAATGAAAAATTTGAAAAATCTAAAAATAGGAACTCAGGAACTTGAAGAACTGAAGAAACGAAAAGATTAAAAACCAAAAATAAAAAATTGTAATATCGACAACTGCAAAATTGGAAAATCGTAAACCGAAAAATTGTAGAAACGAAAAATTGTAAAACTGAAGAAAAAAGAAAAAACCAAAAATTCTGATATCAAAAAATTATGATATGATTTTGCGAATTTTACTGTTTTTTTTATAACCCTAATAAGTTAAAATAAAGATATGTATTCAATGGCAAAGTAAATGTAAATAAGAAAGAAATTTGGATGGATGTAATAACTACTAGTAATAACTGTATTCAAAAATTTTCGGGAAAATGGAATGAGTAGTTCTTGATTTTAATCGATACAATATATTGCCTCATTTATTAATTTTTTTGAGCCACCGTCTATAAGCATTTCGAATATCTATCAGTGCATTGATAAACCACAATTATAAAGTAATATTTTCATATTTCAGTGAGGATAAACGAATAAATTTTGATAATGATTTACCTTGGTTAACCTTAAAAAACATATGCAAGATTTCAAAGAGCTAAATTGCTTTAATATACAACTTAGATTTTTTTTTTTCAAACATCTGTATGTCTAGGGTAAAAATAAAAATTAATTTATAAACCACAGGAAGGATTATCTTATTTTATAAAATTGAAATTATTCAACTTACTAAATTACTAATAAAAATTCGGACAGACGGCAGACAGACAGACAGACAGACGGAAACAGGGGACCTATTTTTTCGTACTCTAGGGGCCATAAAATGTCGAGAAAACATAAAAGTAGCAAAGTGTAAAAGAATTCATCAAAAAGCACTTCGACACACTTTATTTTTTCTCCTAGAATCATAAAAAACGCATTCCACTTTTCCCGCTACCTACGCTT